ATAAAACTTTAACTCTAACCTTATATAATATAGTAGCAATCATAAATAATGCAACAAAAAATTTTTTTAGTTAGATCATATTATCTCATACAATTCTGAGTGTATCTGTTTTTTTTTATTTTATACACAAATAGTATCTTTTTTTAATATTAGAATTTTAGTACTAATTATTATTACAAATGCAAAAATAATCACATATATATCATGAAATATGTATTGCATTATTTTTGCTCATTTTTAACAAAGATCAGATAGCATGTTCTGTGCTATATAAATATATATAAAAATACAAATTTTATTGTTGATTATGTATATTATACAATGTTAGAACTAATTGATAATTAAGCTAAAAAAAAAAAAACTATACTACTCCTGTCCAATATGCTCAAATATTACTTTCACTTCAAAAAGGATATACTACAAGAATAATAGATTGGGTTTGCAATATTTGTTGCTTCATGGTTTCATATATCAAAAAAAAGTAGTTAGTAAACTACTTACTTGAAGATTTAGAAAGAATTAGTTGTCTAATTTTGTTAGACAAATCAACTCAAAGAAGAATAGTAAATCTTATTATTTCTTGTTACTACTCTACCACTGTTGAAGTAAGAGCTTATTTCAAAATAAACAAAACATTGAGATTTCAGTATCTACAATTCACTATATACTTCAAAACTATAGTTTAGTATCAAGAGTTAAAAAAAAACCTCTACCTAAATAATAACTATCAAAAAAAGTAGCTTGTTTTTGCAAAAAAATATGAAAATTAGACTATCAAAAACTAATCAAAGCTAATCTGGTCTGATGAGTTATAATTTAAAATTTTTGGGTCAGATAGTAAATAATATTATTAGAAGTATCATAAGAAACTATTAAACTAGTTTTATATAAAGCCTATAGTAAAATTTGAAAGTAGCTCTATTATGATTTGAGGTTGCTTTACCTGTTATAGTATTAGTAGCTATTGCAAGATTAATAATATAATGAATGGTGAATTATATTAGCAAATACTTTATAAAGATTTGATGTGAACTATCAGGTATCACAAATTAGATATTAGAAAAATTATTTTTCAGCAAGATAGTACAACCTGTTATATAGTGACCTTAACAGAATGTTGGTTTAAACGAAATAGGAATAAGTTTTTTAATTAGCCTCTCTAATCTTCTGAACTTAATCTAATTGAGCACTTGTGAATTAAAGTTGACTATTATCTTAAAGATCTTTCTAATTAAATTTTAAGTGAAACAGATTTCTGAAAAAAAATTCAGGTTGTTTAGCAGGTAATTGATATCAAAATCTATACAAAGTTAATTCATTCAATACTAGAACAAATTCATAATGTAATTAAAGCTCAGAGCAGTTATATTAAATAGTAGAAAAAAAAACTATTAAATAGAAAAAAAAATTTTTTTTTGATATAAAAAATTTTTTTTGTTTTACAGTTGTATTACTATAAAAAATAAGCAAAAATAATATAACATATCAATTAAAATAAAACTCAGGCCTATAAAAATTTTGTTTATAAATTTTTTAAAAATTTTTTATTAATGTAAGTAATACTATTTATAAATAAAATAAAATAAAAAACTAACAGATACATTCAAAATTGCATAAGATAATATGATCTAACTAAAAATTTTTTTTGTTACATTACTTATAATTGTCACTATATTAGCTAAATGAACTTTTGATAAAATAACTATTAGTAAAATAAGTAATACTAGTTTTTTAGATATTAATATACTATATATTTATATAATATTTTAATTAATTTCTGATAAATTTATATTTTTAGAATTAACAGTTAGAGTTAGTAAAAATAAAGATATTATTTATATAAAAAAAGAAGCAGAAATATTTAAGTATTTGGAAGTTTAAATCTTAAAAAAAAGAAATAGTAAATATAATATAAAATTATCACAAAAAAGGTTACAAGAATTTACAAAACAATAAGACTTAAGAAAGCATCAGTTAGCTAGCTTATATATAGGCTTAGTACTACAGAAAAGGAGAAAATCAACAAATTTTTTAAAACTTATTTTTTTGTATAAATCAATTTAAAATAAGATCATAATTATTTTTCACTTAAAGTATAAAAGTAGTTGTCTTAATAAAATCTTGTACAATAGCTTTTTGAAATTTGTATTTACTTATAATTTATTATAAAATTTATAACATAAAAATTGATTTTCCGAAGATCTTTTTTTTTGTCAATTTCCCCCTTTTCTGTAGCACCAAGCCTATATCTAAATAATAGTATTCTACTATTTAGTTTATAGATTTTCTACTTAAATCAAAATATGATCAGATACAAAGACTAATTTGGATATCAATTAAGAAAAAAAAATAAAGTTAGCAAAGTTAATTGTGAATAGTGATTTGAACCGGTTGGGCTATAATCGGTTAACCGACCTGAATTGAATAAATTTCGAAGTAAATTCTTAATCGGTTGACCCGTACAACTTGTTGAGTATCGGTAATCAGTTGACAGGATGTAAATGACATCAAGAAGGAGCAAAGAGTCCGAGAACTTCCGAAAAGAAAATGAATAAACATAAAATTTTGAGTAAAGGTCCGAGAACTTCCGAAGGTAAAATTGTGCAATCGGTTGTCATTAAATATTTCGGTTCGGTTACCCGACTAAGGAATATGATCAAAACAGGCCCTTGAGCCAAGGGCCTGCCTTGATCAAATTCCTTATTTATAGAGTCTGAACTAGGACCTGCACGGGCCTAAAAATTTAAACTTTTGCCGGCCCGCTCGGCCCGCAAAATAAAATTTATTATGTTTTTTTAAAAGTTTGGCCCGCTTTTTACTATGTTTATACCTTACCAGGCCCGCAATTTGAGAGGTTTTTAAAATTTTTAAATTTTGGCCCGGCCCGTGCAGGCCTCTAGTCTGAACCGATAGCGATAGGATCAGATTTTAACAGCCTCACCCAAATTAAAGGTCGGGAGGCATCGAAATCCTGGTCAGTTGGGCCGAAATTAACTAAATTTTACTAATAAAGTTATCGTGCAAAATTCAATTTTGGGTTACACATGTGAGAACATAAATTTCCAAAATATACTATCGCTATAGATTGTTCTTGTGAAAACATTTTAGATAATTCGAATTTTGTACACTGATTATAATCCACCCACTAAGTAAAAAATGACACCTAATAACTTTGCTATAGGCATAGTTAATTAGTATAGCATAATGCTGGCCGGGCCCCTCTTGCAAAAAATTCACAAAACTGTCTAAAATTTAACAAATTTTTTATAATAGCAATAAAATTTAAGCATAGTTCCAATTATTTATTAAGTAAATTTGCTTGAATATGTATTTATAATAACGGGATATAATACTAAAAGCATTTTTTTTTTAGCTATTATAAAATGTAAAAAAAAAAAATTTAATATTTATAGTAAGGGTTCGGATTTTTCTTGACTTTTTTTGCAAGCCGTTTGGAATATCGAATAGGTGACGATGGTTTATAAATTCTTGTATGTTGTCTTTCACGCTTTTTTGCTGGCCATTCATTTTGATCAGACGCCGTACACTCTGTATGACCTACACTAAGTATAGTGGAAGCATTCTCGTCTTTACCAAATGGGAGGTTTATATCTTGTCCTTCAATTATTTCTCTTGATTTGCCCTTATTTGAAGAATTTATAAGAGTTTCACACATATTAATATTCCTCCAGGGACTTGTTGCACTAGAAATGGACTGACAACTGTCATCCTTAGATGATTCAGAAGATAAATCTAACAAAATTTCATGTCTCAAAGGACTAGAAATTTTCTATTATATAGTACAACGATGATTACCAGCTAGTTAAAGTGTAGAAATAAAATGATCTATTTATAAATGACTATGTACATACCGGAGAAAACTTGTGTTGAGAGTTCAAGAGCAGTCGAGAAATATTTGCGTTTTGTGCAGTATCTGATGTTTTCATAACCCCCCTTCTGCAAAATGTAAGTTTAAGATAGTTACTTTCCGTACATCATAAAAAAAAAACTGGCTTAATAATAAAAAATATGCCACGTACAGACGATCCAACTCCGCTATCTATAGAATTATATCGCGGTGTTCTGTACCTACTTTTCAAATTCTTACGCTAATACACAGAAAAGCGTCAGTAATTGTGAAATAATAAAATATTAATAGAATTATATATCAAATTTCAATATATACCACTATAGATGATTTAATAGAAGGGCTTAATAGAACGGAGCGAGGTGTAACTGGCAGTTTATTAATTGACGATTGTGCAGCTTGATTCGAAATATTATTTAAGTTATTCGTTGACGATATTTGTGTTGTTCGAGTCGGCGTGGTTTGCACCGATTTCATAGACGACGTTTTTATAGAATTAACTGGTTCAGTTTGTGTTGTTGTCGGAGATTGGATTCGCGTATTAATTATATTATCATTCGGAAATAATATTTGATTCACTTTTAATTTTGTTAAGCTCAAGCGCACTGCATCTTCAAATATTCCTTCTTCCATTGTTCGCGATATAGAAAGTTTCCAACCAGTTTCCATTTGAAGTTTGCAATAAAAAAAAGACGAGTTCAAAAGATTTATTTATATTTAAAATCGCGTATTCTGTAATTTAGACGCGTGTCGTAAATATAAATTAGCCAATCAAAATTCATGCATAAAACATTAAGCGTCAACTCAGGGACGATGTGTTGCAGAAATCACGGAATTGGCAGAAAATATTACAGTTCGCGAAATTGTCACGAAAAGTAAGGTACAGATAGTGTTACAAAATATTTCGACGTAACTTGGATAATATTTGAACTTAAAATACGACGAAATTTTCCGAATAGTCTTTTTGAATGCAAAAACTTGAGAGAGTCTAATATAAACAACGCAGAATTTAGAGTAGAAAGTATATGGAAATAGCAAAATATAATGCACGGAAAGAGAACTCCGAACATACTGTAATCTAGAGGTTACATGAACCTTTTTAGCAAAAACCCTTAATGATCGGCGGGGTGCATTTCATACAGTATTAAAACAATTAAGTATAATCTGAAGCCAAATTTAAAATTTCTCGATTTCTGCCAAGTTAACATCTTTTGGGTTTCTAATAAAAATTGCGGAAGAAAATTTCTTTTTCTAACAATAGTAAAATTATCAAAATTTATCTAATAGATCGCGAGATTTTGTTATTTTTATCTTGTAATTATATAAAATTTTTTTGTAAATCTGTTATATTGCAATATGACAGAAATTAAGAAATTTTAAAATTACTTTCAAATTATAAATATTTAATTGTTTTAATATAAAATATATTTCACTAATTATTAATCAAATTCTTTATTTTATTTATAAATTATAAATTAAAGTTTAAAAATTAATTTATTTTTTATAAATTTTTTATTATTAGTATTGTTTTTCTTTTTTATAATTATACAGTCTGTATTATACAAATTGTATGATTATATAAAGGTTTTTATTATAATATTATTACAGGTAGTGTAGCTTTTTTAATACACTATCTATAACAGGAATATAGCTAAGCTATTTTTTAATAAAAAAAGTAAGATTAATAGTACAAAAAGTTTTTAAACATCTTACTAATCTTTGTATTAAAGAAGCAAAAATTATAACTAAATAGAAGTTTAGCTAATTATATTATTATCAAATGAACTTTAATATATTTTCTTAATTATTTATTATTATATTTTTTTTTTCCTTTGATAGTTATGCTTTACACATTTATTAGATAAAGAGTTACAGATAGCTAATTTGCATAAGATTTAACTTAATACAAGAACTTATAGTTCCTCCCTATACATCTAATTTCTTAATGGAAAGCACTGCTTGATACTCCATTTGTATACATGCCCAAACATGATCTGTTATACTAAAAACCTCCTTAATATAAAGAAAAAGAGAAGTCTAGACAATTTTGTTCGACTGTCTAGGAAGACAGACATTAATAAAAGTAAAATAAAATTGTTACATATAGTGAAAAGTAAAGCTACATACTATATATAATGTTCAAAGCAAAGTTAGGAAAACTTGCTAACAAGATAAAAATCTAACAAGCTAAAAGGAAAAACACAAAACAAAAACAAAAAGAAAGAAAAAGAAAATAAAAGGTGTCTCGTAAGAATCATAACCTAAATATATAATCCTGTTCAAGACTAGGTAGTTAAAAATTATAAATGCAAAATACATTTATTTGCAAATATCTCTAATATTTGATAGCGATTTGGTTATTTTGTCAAACACGTAATAGCTTATTATTATTGCGGTAAACTTGTAGTTTATATTACAAAATAAAATCATGTGTTTGTTATGCTAACTTCAAAATACACACGTATTTGTTGTTGTCACACCATAAGCTTACTTCCAAATTCGTTAATGATATACATACTGATCTTTGGTAGAGGGTGAGCTCTATTCTCCACTTTTTGTACAAAAAATACTCCAAGTTCACCAAATAGTCGAAACTATTCCCAAGACCGACCAAAGGTTTAGAAGTGAGAGTAAGGATATCCAAAATAAACTTGAAAAGTATAAGAAGTGATGTTATACTCGACTCTATCCAAGTATTTTCTTTAACTTTTATATCCACAAAGCTTATTTTTTTTAAAATTCAGTAGCCATGCCTCAACTTTATTCAAACAGTTTGCGAACAAACTTTTTATATTTGAAGTGAACTCCTAATGTGTCTGACTAGTAAGCTGAAACTCATTCGGTTACCCCAAAGGTACCTATATACAGCATGCTATAGTTAGTCTTTTAAATCCACACCATCCAATTCAGTAACCCAAATCTTCTTGTGTTTCAGATAGTCCCAACAACTCAAAAAAAAAAAAAAAATTGTTACTATCTAAAAGCTCGAAAGCTAACTAACAAAGAAAACCTTGCCCCAAGTTAAAA